GTTGGGAACAACTTCTGTTCCCTCAGTTCCTGGGCCAGACTCCTGGTTGGTGCATCTTCCTCACCTCTTCCCGCCCCGTCACCCCCACAGTCCGTCCGTGCCCAGTCCTTCCTGCCTCCTCACATTCTCTGCCCCGCCCCCTCCTTTATGTCCGCAGGTCCCAGCCCCAGATCGGGCATCCTCCCCCCCCCCCCGCCGGCATCCATCCCCCACCGGGCCCCAGAGGGGACTCTCTGACGCCCAGATCTGACCATAACCCTCCATGGCTCCCGGTCACCCCCAGGAGAAAGTTCCCAGCCTGGCCTTCAAAACGCTCGAGAGCCTGGCCCCGCCCACCACCTCAACCGCATCTTCGGAGCTCCTCGGCTCCTGTCCTCGAAGGCTCCAGGCCGACTTGACTGCTTTGCGGTCCCCCCGGAATCGCCCCCCGGTTCCCTGCCTTCGAGCCTCTGCCTGCAACGCCCTTGCTGCGGCCAGCCCCCTTCTCGGCCATCCAGATCTGACTTCTCCCGGTTCTCGGAGGTCCGTTCGGCTGTCTCCAGCTGCAAGGATTCCTTCCGCCCCTGGGCTCCCACAGCCGCTGGCCTCTGGCTCTGTCATACCCCGATCGCCCTGGATTGGGACTGTCTGCGTCTGGGGCCGTCTCCTCCATCAGACTGTGAGCTCCGTCTGCAAGGGCAGATATGGGTCGGATTCACCTTTGGGGCCCTGGTGCGGGGAGCGGGCGGGGGGAACCGAAGCGGAGGGAGGAGAAGGAGGCTGGGAGGGCAGGAAGGGGGAGAGCGCGGAGGGGAGCAGACCCCCGCTGCGGCTGGGGAGGAGGGGGTGCGGCGGGAGGAGGAAGAGGAGAGACACAGAGACCGAGAGACCAGGAGGAGACTGCGCCGCGCGGGAGGCGGCGGCCGCGGCGAGAAGGTGAGCGAGCGGAGGTGGAGGGCGCGGGAGGAAGCGGAGAGGGGAGAGCCGGGCCGGCCGCGGGAGGCGGAGGGAGGGAGAAGTGGAGCGCGGCGCCCCGCCGCCCCGGCCCCTTTTGTCCCTTCCCTCCGCCCTGCGTCACGCTCCCGGCCGGCCTCCCCGCGCGCTCCCTCCCCCGCCCGCGCCTCCTCCCCGGGGCTGGATGGAATTTTTTCCCCTGGACCGGGGCCAGCTCCGGGGCCGAGGGAGGCAGGCCGGGCCGGGCCCGGCGGCGGGGAGGGGCCGGGGCGGGGGCGCCCGGGGAGGGGGCCGGCCCGCGGGGTCCGAGGCGGAGACGCGGGCCGGAGGGAGTCGGGAGGAGGGAAGGAGGATGGCGAGGCCGCCGGGAGGAAGGGGAGAGGCCGTCGGGCGGCGGAGGCGGGGAGAGGATGGAGAGCGGGCGGCGGCGGGCCCGGCTCGGCGCGGCCTGGGGGCTGGCCGGGGAGCCCCTGCCCTCCGACGCGGGAGCCCCGGAGCCGTGAGTCTGCGGAAAGCCGGCTTGGTGGGCGGGGGGCGGGGGGGCGGCCGGGGCCCCGACCCAGGGTCCCAGAAGGAGGAGGCCGCCGCGGCCTGGCTTTCTGGGTTCTTGGAGGAGGAGGGGGCTGGGGATCCAGACTCCCGAATCCTCGGAGGAGGGGGCTGGGGCCCCGAGGGCCCGGATTCCGGGGGTCCAGAGGAGGAGAGGGCGGAGAACACCTCCTGGATTCCAGAGGAGGAGAGAGATGGGGCCGGGATAGCTAGATGCGGGGGCTGAAGAACGCTGGGGCAAGATGCCCGCCCGAGCCCTTAGGGGAGGTGGAGGGAGAGAGGTTGGCTTTGGAGGTGCCTCCGGCAGCGGAAGGGTTAACGTCTGGCTAGAGGGGAGGGGGAGGGGCAGGGAAGGGGCTGCGGGGCTTTGAGGGGTCAAGGGTGAGCCGTTCGAGGTGGGGGCGGAGGAGGGGGGGGAGGTTGTCTGGGCTGCCAGACAGGCCAGGGTCAGCGGCGGGGGCAGGGGATGTCTGGCGGAGGAGAGGCCCAGCATCCAGGCTCCCTTGGGGACCTGGGATTCCAGGCCCCAGCCCCCTCCTCCCTCAGACCTGGGAGTCCGCAACCCAGCCCCCTCCCTCAGAATTCCAGAATCCGAACCCTTAGCCTCCTTTACCCCAGGACCCAAGAGGGCCTGGGCCTCCGGCCTCTTCTTCCCGCAGCCCGGGGAGTCCACACCCCAGCCCCCACCCTTCCCAAAACGACCGAGTCCGGGCCCCTCTCCCCTTCCTCCCCCGAACCCAGGCGTCCCCACCTCCTCTTTAAGCCCCAGCTGGATCCCAGCCCTCCGGGGGTTAAGGGGGCGGGGCCAGCCGGTTGCCATGGTGCCAGACTGTTTGGGTCTGCTCTCTGACCCTTGGGGGCTCCCCAGGGTCTGCAGAGAGGGGGAGGGGGACCCAGACCTGAGGGAAGTCCAGCGCCAACCCCTTCCCCAAATCGGGCCTGTGGGCCCGGAGAGTTCATGTCTCCATCAACGCCGCGTCCAGTGACCTTGAACAAGTCCCGACCCTTCTCTCTGGGTCTCAGTTTCCCCAAGGAGAAATTTGTCAAGGGAGTGGGGGGATGCTCGGGTCCTGCAAATCTTTAAGATTCTCAGCTCCCCTCTCACCCCCTCCTCAGGCCCCAGGCAGCCCCGGGGCATGCTGGGAACCCGGCCTGGGCTCTGGGCCAGGTTGTGGGGGGGGCGGGGGCAGCCTCCTCCCTTCCCCTTCCTCCCCACCTTGGCCTGACTCTCGCCCCCGCCTGAGGGTCTGGGAGGTTGGGAAGGAGGGAAGGGGGATGAGAGCCGGACCCGACTCTGGCCCCCCATCTCCTCCTTTCCTCCTCCGCCCCCCTTCCCGCCTCTCCTCCCCCTCCTCAGCAGGTCGCTACCCCAGCCCTGGGCCCCTTCTCGAACCACCCCCACCCCACCCCCAGCTCCAGACCTGGCTCCGAGCTGCGAGGGGGAGGGAGAGAGGGAAGGAGAAAGAGAGAGAGAGAGAGAGAGAGGGGGAGAGGGGGGGGCGAGGGAGAGGGGGGGGGAAAGGAGGGGGGGGGGGGGAGGGAAGGGAGGAAAGAGACAGGGAGACAGAGATGGGAGAGGGAGAGAAGAGGCGAGGGGAAGGGAGAGGGCCAGAGACAGAGACCTTGAGGTAGGAAGAGACTGAGAGAACGAGAGACAAAGAGAGAGGGAGGGAGGAGGAGGAAGAGAGACCGAAGGGGGGAAAAGGAATGAGAAAGGAGAGGGAGGGCGAGGCCATCCGCGAGGGAGAGCGCCGCGACCACGCAGGGGCGAGGACCGGAGCGGAGAATGGGCAATGCGGAGCCGGAGAGGCAGACGCAGGACGTGCCGGAGACCAGGTAAGCCGGGCGCTGCCGCGGGGGCCAGGCGCCGCAGAAACAGACAGCGGGGGGGAGAGCCAGAGAGATGGAGATGGAGCGTGGGACGGGGAGGGCAGGACAGACAGAACTGGACGGAGAGGCCGACCTGCCACTCGCAGGTGCGCACTCTCAGCCCCTGGGCGGCGAGGCTGGGCGCTGGGCCACCGCCCACCGGGCCCGGCTCCTCCCGCTTGCCCGGCTCCGGCCCAGCCTCTCCCGATCTCCCCCGGGGCAGCCTTCTCCCCTGCCCAGTGGGGAAGCTGACAGCACCTTGCTGGGCCTGGGGCAGCGTCAGTGCTCAGGGCTCATAGCTGTCATCATTATAAATGATGGGAGGCCCAAAGAAGAAATGAGAGAGGGGGAAAATATCCGGAGAGGTTTGAAGGTTTCATGTCCCACGCCTCCGCCCTAGTCCTGGGTTCCAGAATCTGACAGGTTGGTAGGGAGCTGCTTGCCCAAGGGGCCAAACTCGGAAACCTCTGAAAGGTGAGGTTCCTTCTGACTCTTCATCCAGGAAGCCCGGCTGTGCCTTCCCCACGGAGGCAGGCCTGGCTGGACTCCCAGGTCTGAGGGAAGAGAGGGGGCTGGGGGCCTGGACTTCTGTGTCTGAGAGAGGAGGGGCCTCCTAGCCTGGACTCCAGGGACCTTTGAGGAGGAAGGGGCTAGGGGCCTGAACTCCTGGGTCCCTGGGACTGATTCCTGGGTTCCTTGGGGAGGAGGGGGCCGGGGGCCCGGATTCCTGGGTCCTGGCACCCACCCGTAGAACCGACCTTGCGGGGCCTTCGCCGCACACAAGCTCGAGTCTGTGGGTCCGTGTCGGGGGCTCACCATCGCGGCTGGGGTCTTCCCGGCCCTCCCCACCCTCCCTGGCCCTCCTGGCCCCCATCTGTCCGTCCATCCGTCTGTCTGTCCACCTGCCGCGCCCCCCGGGCTGAGGTAGGAGGTTGTATAGTTGAGGAGGACACCCACGGAGATCACTATACGGCCTCCTAGCTTTCCCCAGGCTGCGCCCTGCACGGGACGCCCGGCGGGGACCCCAGCGCCTGACCGCCGCCCCATGCGGGGGACCCTGCGAGGGGGAGCTGGGCCGTCTCTCCTGTCCTGGCATTCACTCCTCCCACCTCCCTCCAAGGGTTTCCGTCCCACGAAGAAACCTCTCTTTTGCCCTCTCTGTCTCTCCATTTCCACTGTGTCTCTGGAGTCGGCTGTGTGTCTACACAGCGGCCTCTCAGGCTCTCTCTCCATCTCTCTCTTCCTGTGCTTCCTGATCTCTCTCCGTGTCTCCGTTTCTGTCTCTCGGGCTCTCACAGTATCTCTGTGCCATCTCCACTCGGACCCCCTCCCCCCACCCCCATGCCAGGGCCTGTCCGGCCGCCACACACCACACTGCCGGCCTCTGGGTCCCTGAGACCCTTTAACCTGTGAGGACATCCAGGGTCACAGGTGAGGTTCTTGGGAGCCTGGCGTCCGGCCTAACCACAAGCTTGGGGATTGCCCGCCTGACCCCTGACTCCTCACACCCGTTCTCCCCGAAAACCCAGAGCTTGCCATTTGACCAGCCACAGAAATCCAACCTCTGCCCCCTTACCACATGCCCCTCCCCCACCCCGTGGTGACCTCACAAAGGTCACCAGCTTCTCCCTGGGCCAAGACCCTCCGTTATGGCCCTGCTGGCCCCAGGCAGTGCTGTCCCATCTGCCCTGGTAGCCCTCGTGGTCTTCAGGACCCCCGCCTGGGCCTGTCTCCTCTGCTTCACATCCCACAAGGAGCGTGTCCGCATCTGCCAGATCTTTGCTGGTATAGAGGGCCCTGAGCTGGAAAAGTGTGAGGAGGCATTCACCGCCGCCTTTAAGGGTCTCCTAGACGCTGAAATCAGTGAGGAGACCTGCCACTTCTTCTAGGGTCCTGGGGGGGGCGGTGTCTGCACAGGGAGGTTCCAGAGAGCGGGGAGAACCACTGAGAGATTCGCCCAGAGAGGGGGCGCGGGGGGCCGACTTAGAGGAGAGGATAAGAGACTGAGGGACAGACTCAGAGCGGAGGACACAGTGCGGGACAGACTCCGGGAGGCGGAGAGAGATGGGGGACAGACTCCGGGAGGCGGCGAGAGATGGGGGACAG